AAACAACACATGTGAGAATCATGGGGCAGGGGGCAGGCAAAGCCAGCAGGGGAATGTGGGCTCCCCTGCTGGACAACCACTCCCACTGGAGAGCATGAATTGGGATGGGGCAGACCAGGCAAGGCCACAACACTTGTGGGCCTCATGTGAGCTAGATAAGGGAAGGGCCATGTTGGGCTGACTGTCCTGACTGATGCAAGCAAAAATCTGAGTGGGTGAGGATTGGCTGGATTTGGCTGCAGCATCAGCTGGCAGAGGCTGACACTGGGAGCTTAATCTGTCAAGTTAACCTCCAGAACCACCTGGAGAGTGCATAATCTGGAAGTGGCCTAGTAGGGAGATAGTGGGCACCTCCCTCATGGGTTACTATTCCCACTGGAGAGCAAAAAAATCAGGACAGGGGCAGGCATGGCTAGACAGAAAGGCACCTGCCAGTAGGTGTGGGGCTGGATGGTAGGTTGGTTGGGTTGAACTAGGCTTCAATGCCCATTGACAAGTATGAGAGCTAAATGGGATGTGGGACAGACTGAACAAGCCTGCGGTACATACTGGCAAGCATGGGAACCAGGGTAGGGGACAGGCCTGGTGGGGGTTATGGGGAGTTGCCCCAACTAGGCTGCAGCTCCCACTGGTTTGCGTGAGGACCGACTATGAAGTGGGTAGGATCGGGCTGGACTACAATACCTGTTGGTTCACGTGGAAGACAGGGCTGGAAACAGAACTGATTCAGCTAGTGCAACGACCAGCATGAGCATAAGCTGATTGGGGCGACGGACAGTTCCGGACCATATACTAGCAAACTCACGCAAGAATCAGGTCTGGGATCACCTCAGATGAAGTTTCTTTGGAGATCCCTCCAACTGAACTGCTGATCTCAGAATTCTAACCATGAAGAGACTATGTCAGCCAGTGGATTCTGAATAGGTTTCATTACGATTGGAATGGCGAGACTGGCAGCAATTAAGAACTGTTGAACTATCAAAACTGCTTGAGCAGGACCCTCGGATCGTGTTTCACATTGCAGACCTGGGATGGGTGGGGCTTTTCCTTTTTTATTTCTCCGACCCCAGATACAGGGAAAAAAATGATAATATTAGTACGGAAACAATGGTCTTACCCACTTTCCTGCAGCCCTTGACCCTTTGTACTCTAATCAAGTAAGATTATTTTTAAAATATATATTAAAAAAAGAAAATAAAATCTTTCAAAAATGTGCTTCTTCAAATTAAACAAGATTGAAATGTATTCTATCTTGACTTTCAGGCTGCATTGTGAAAGTGTCTATACACTTTAATTAATATGTATCACAAAGATATCCATGCTTTGTGTCCTTTTTCTTGACTCCAATATTCTTTCTGGAGAGCAGGACACTCTCAGGACCCCAAGCATACACAGTTTGCGATATGTGCCCAGTGAAGGAGGTTGTGGGCCACTGCAAGACACAGGGGGAGAGACTACAGCTGCAATAACCACACTGGTTTCTTGCTGACTTGCTTAGGAGCAGCTGTTAAGGAACGAGGTTTTATGCTGGCTGCTGGGGCCACCACAGTACTCTAGACAGTCAGGAGTTCTTTCCTTATTATACTAGAAAAGACAGATGTGAGACCACTAAGGATCTATCTGGTTAATTAATCATGTAGTCACAAGAACTACTAAGAAAGGGGAAGCGCAAGGTGCTGAGAGATCAAAGGACTGGAAGAAGGCTTCTGGGGATGCGAGGATTAACTTACCACCTTAATGTGTCAGTTAGTGATCTGGGGAAGGTACTGGCAGGGAAGAGGAGTTGGGGCAAAAGAAATGTCCTGTAAGCATAGAGCTGAGGGAGGAATCAAATGAACCGCAAGAAGGCCAGTGAGGCTGCAGCACCAGAAGTCGCCAGTGGATGTTGCAGGAGAGAATAGGTGAGGTGGGTAGAGTGCTTCCCGGGCTATAGGATTAAATAATCTAGACTTTTTTCTATGACGATCAGCATTTCTTTTTAAAGAGAAAGTTTATTTGTTTATTTGAAAGAGTGACAGAGAGAATGACATAGGGGAATATCTTCCTATGGATGGTTTACTCCACCAAGGTCCAGAACGTCAGCACTGGTCCAGGCCACAGCCAAGAGCCAGGAGCTCCATCCTGGTTTCTCAGCACTGGGCCAGGCCAGAGCCAGGAGCCAGGAGCTCCATCCTGGTCTCTCAGCACTGGGCCAAGCCACAGCCAGGAGCCAGGAGCTCCATCCTGGTCTCTCAGCACTGGGCCAAGCCACAGCCAGGAGCCAGGAGCTCCATCCTGGTCTCTCAGCACTGGGCCAGGCCACAGCCAGGAGCCAGGAGCTCCATCCTGGTCTCTCAGCACTGAGCGAAGCGACAGCCAGAAGCCAGGAGCTCCATCCAGGTCTCCCAGCACTGGGCCAGGCCACAGCCAGGAGCCAGGAGCTCCATCCTGGTCTCTCAGCACTGAGCGAAGCCACAGCCAGGAGCCAGGAGCTCCATCCAGGTCTCCCAGCACTGGGCCAGGCCACAGCCAGGAGCCTCCCAGGGAGTAGGAATCCAAGTAGCCAGGCCACTATCTATTGCTTTAGCAGGGAGCTGCACTGAAATAAGAGTAGGCAGGATTTGAACAAGCACTCCAATGTGGAGTGGAGGCATCCCAGGTGGTATCTTAATCTGTTGTGCCACAATGCACTCTCCTGAGGAATATTTTAGAGCAGTTTCAAGAGGAAGCGGAATATCTCCCAGCTACTGGCTGCCAAAAACTCGCTGAAGCGGACGACGAATGTAAACGAAGAACTTTCTAAAGAAAAGCTCACGGCAACTGAAGTAGCTGCCTACACTCTGGGCGAGGAGTGGAAAGGCTACGTGGTCTGGATCAGTGGTGGAAATGACTTGCAAGGCTTCCCCAGGAAGCAAGGTGTCTTGACCCACCCATAGCTGGGTTCGTCTGCTGCTGAGCAAGGGGGCACTCTGCTACAGACCCAGGAGAACCGGGGAACAAAAACAAAAGTCAGTTCAGGGCTGCATTTTCGATGCCAACTTGAGTGTTCTAAACTTGGTTATTGTAAAAAAAGAGAGAGAGAGAGAGAGAGAGAGAGAGAGAGATTCCATGATTGACTGATACCGCGCTGCCTCGTCGCCTGGGGCCTAAAAGAGTCAACAGAATCCACAAGTTTCAATTTCTGTAAAAAAGATAACATACACCAGTGTGTTGTGAAAAAGCCCCTAAACAAGGAAGAAACCTAGTAGCAAAGCCCCTAAGATTCAGTGTCTTGTTACGCCATGAGTCCTCCAGCGCAAACAGCGGCTCATTGCTCTGAAGAAACAGAGGACTATGAAGAATAAGGAAGAGACTGCAAAATATGCTAAACTGGTGGCCAAGAGAATGAAGGAGGCCGAAGAAATACGCCAGGAGAAGATCACCAGGAGACGCAGGCTGTCTTCCTTGAGAACACCCACTTCTAAAGTAGAGTCTACTCAAAAATAAGGTTTAAGAATGACCAATAAATAAGATTGGATTTCAAAAAAAAAAGAATATTTTAGTTTGGTAAAGTTATAGTCAAATTTATATTTTTAAAATTTTTAACCTTTGTTAAAATTTAAAGTTATAATTCCAATAAGTTTTCTTAAGAAAATTATTGTTTGAAAATAATTATCCATGCTCAGGACAGTGAAATAGTCAAGAATTTTTTTTGATAAGACTCCAAAAGCATAGCCTATAAAGACAAAGATAGAGAAATGAGATTAAACAAGCTAAAAGTGTCTGCACAGCAAAGTACATGGTAGACACAGTGAAGAGACCAGCTCCAAGTGGGAGAAATATTTACAAACTAGGTATATGATGAGTGATTAACATCCAGAACACAGAAGGAACCCAAACAGCCCAAAGCAAAAAACTAGCAATCCAATTAAAAATGGGCAACAGACCTAAACAGACATTTTTCAAAGGAAGATATACAAATGGCCAACAGATACATGAAAAAATGTTCAAAACCACTATCAAGGGAATACAAATGAAAAAGGATCAGGAGATATGACCTCACTCGTCACACTGGCTATTATCCAGACAGTAAGTGTGGAGAGAAGGGAAACCGCACACACTGCTGGTACACCTGTCCATTAGCACAGCCATGATGGGAAAGTGCATGGTGGTTCCTCTGAGCAATCGCCATGTGACCCAGCAGCACTGGTATGGACCCAGGGGAAATGAATTCAAGTTCTGAGGAGACATCTCATTTCATGGTTCCTGTAGCACTGTTTACAAAACCCAAGACATGAAAACAATCAAAAAAAAAAAAAAAGACAATTATGGTGTGATCCCATATGTGGAAACTGAAAATATGGATCTCATAGAAGTTTAGACTAGAACAGTGTGGGGAATGAAGCAACAGTGAAAGCTTTGGCAGGGAGTACTAAATTATGGTAAGAATCAAGAACTAAGAGGCTGGCATTGTGGTACATCAGGTTAAGACACTACCTACAACACTGGTGTCCCATTTGAGTACTGGTTCATGTCCTGGCTGCTCCACTTTCAACCCAGCTTCCTGCTGATGTGCCTGGCTGGAAGGTAGCGGAAGATGACCCAAGTAGCTGGTTCCCTGCCACTCACATGAGAGAACCAGGTGGAGTTTCAGGCTCCTGGCATCGGCCTGTTCCTGCCATGGCTAGTGCGGTCATTAGGGGAGTGAACCAGCAGATGGAATCAATCTCTCTCTCTCTGTCAACCCTTCTCTTTCCATAACTCTTACCCTGATTTGAACATTGCATAATGCAGACATGTGCCAAAACATAAATATGTACAATTTTTATGTGTTAAATAAAGTGTTTGTTTTTTCAAAATGCTGGATAAAAAATTAAAATAATAAAATAGTTATATAGGAAACAGGCTCCGGGTTTCCACTCTGGATTCCATTCTCAAAAGCTGCCAGCTTCTTCAGTGGATGTGCGGACATATCCCAATTCCTCTGCCAATGCGGACACCGTGCTCCCATCTCCCCAACAGGGGGACCCTGCCTGACATACCCCGATTCCTCTGCCAGCGCGGACACTGTGCTCCCATCGCCCTGACAGGGATCCTGCGATGACAGGTCACAGTCTCTCTTCTCGGGATTCATAGCAATATTGACTCCTCGTTGCTGCAACTCCCATCTTCGAGCTACGTTATTAATTGTTAACCTTTTCTTCTCCTACAAGAAAGTTAATTGTGATAAGAATTAGATTTTTCCTATCAGAAGAGAACATCTAAGACTCCTATTATTTGTGCTTTCTTACAATGCTCTGAAAGGAAGCCTATTCCTTACAAGTGGCTAGCTACACAGTACACAATCTCAAGCAAATATGCTTCAAAGCTCTGAATGAAGTCAAACATTCTAATGGGAAAGAGATCATACACAAATATTAATTCTATAAGAACCTAATTTTATTTTGAAAAAAACATAATCTACTGGAGATTAAAGATTCATCATCTGAAATTTAAATTTTATAGAAAGTTACATGCCTCTGTATTTAAATACATCAAGAAAAAGAAAAGCAAATAAAATAGTACTTTCCTACCCAATACTCATGTCTCATGTGGCAGAGTAAGCTCTGATAGTGAGAGAAGAGGGTCTGATATTTTTCCAAGGTTCACAGCATGCACTGTAATGTCTAAAACATTAAAAAAATATATGACTTGGACTACTAAAAGAAATTGTGCTACACAAGTAGAGCCATCCAGAGGAATAGAAAAGCAATCAGTTCAGGAAACCTACTCTGGATTATTGCATTTAGACAGGGCTCAAGATGTGATGCTCACAGCTCTGGGTACTGTGAACGCTGCTGCAGGCTCAGCTTGCCCACAGCAGCCCTGCTGAGAGCTGCATGAATGAAGGAAACTGCTCCACAAAAATGTTCTGACTCAATTTAGAGACCGAGTGTTGACAGGGAAAACTAACCCTATGCTGATGAAGTCTCCATTATCAAAAGTTAATGAATGAGATTAGAATGCTACAAATAGACAGTTTCAGATCCCTGCCTATGGGCTGGCCGTAAACAATTCTTCGTGGAAAACCAGCCAAGCGGGGGACCAGCCACTGTCCGTCCCCGTGTACATATATCCACATGTAGGTAACGATTTAGTCCCAACTGTTGGCCAATATTTGGTTTTCTAAGATTTTAGCATGTATGTTAATCATTGCATAGAAACAGGAAAAATGATGTGATTTACTTAACTTTGTTTTTAAAACTTTTAAAAAGATTTATTTTTATTTGAAAGGCAGTTTTTACAGAGGGAGGAGAGGTACGAAGAGAGATCTTCCACCCACTGGTTCACTCCCCAAATAACCACAACGGCTAGAACTGAGCTGGCATGCTAGCATGTCCTCTCACAGCCTAGCAAACAAATCTTTATTTTCCCTAAGATTTATTTATCTGAAAATTAGTTAAAGAGAGAGGAGGGTCGAGATTGAGAGAAAGGGGTCTGCCATCCATTGGCTCACTGCCCAGAGGGTCCCAGTGACTGTAGCTGGGCTGGAATGAAGCCAGCTGTTGGGAGCATCCTCGGGATCTTCCACACGGTACAGGCCCCATGTGGGACTCAGCTTCTCTCATAGGAGGACTGGAAGTGGAGCAGCTGGGACCCGAGCTGGTGCCAACCCAGGGTACCAGCACTGCAGGTGGCAGCCCTATCTGCGAAGTCACAGTGCTGCCCCCCAAACAAATGAAGAATTTTATTGTTGTTATTGTCCAGTATTTTAGATCGATTTGTATGGGCACCCTTAATATCATCCACTTCTGAGACTTTCAGATGTGTCATGTGTGTATTCCTTATCTAAAGTGGGAATCCGCTGTTCCATGGTAAACTAGTTTTCTCTATAATAATAAGGCACCCCACCTTAAGGAGTTTTATTTCAGCTGTCTACTGGAGACTATGCTAAGCCAATCTTGAATTGAGGCCAGTGGTGTTGTTCCTGCAGGGGGCCACATTACTGTGAAAGAGGTTGGCAGTAAGATAAGCCAGGGTCACTGTCATGCTGATCCAGTGTGTCTGGCTAACGGGGGGCGGGAGGGGCAGAGGATGAAGGTTGGGGGGAAGAAATATTTTCAATGAGGCAGATCCAGAAAATGCCTAGGAAGAAAAAGTCACAAGCTATATGACTATATCACTGAGTGTGTTTTGCCGATTTATTATAAGACAACCTTTAGAAACACCAATGCATTTTCCTGTACCCACACCACAGTCAAGCGTCCTTTGCTTGGGTTATTAAAATCAGCTCAACTCTAGGGTAACTAAGAAAATGTGTAATTTTCTGGGCTGAGGAAAAAGGGAGAGGGTTTTAAAAAAAAAGATTTATTTATTTATTTATTTTTCTTGGAAAGTCAGATATACAGAGAGGAGAGACAGAGAGGAAGATCTTCTGCCCATTGGTTCACTTCCCTAATGGCCACAATGGCCAGAGCTCAGCGGATCCAAAGCCAGGAGCCCGGAGCTTCTTCTATGTCTCCTACACAGGTGCAGGGTTCCAAGGCTCTGGGCTGTCCTCAACTGCTTTCCCAGGCCACAAACAGGGAGCTGGATGGAATCCAGGATATTAGTTAGTGCCCATATGAGATCCCGGTGCATGGAAGGTGAGGACTTTAGCCACTAGGCTACTGTGTTGGGTCCAAAAGGAAGAGATTTTAAGACAGGAATGTAGCCTGGGATCAGGTGGGAAATGCTGGCTGATCAGGTGGCCACGTGACACCTACGCATCTGTATAACAACAAAAAAAGAAACAAAGGAAAGGCTAGAGAATCTTAAATGCTTCAGGGCAAAAGGTATACCCAAAAAGGAATCTGTTGCCAAAGCCCACAGCAGCATCTGGTACACCAGGTATAACTATATTTCTAAGTAGGTGTCAGTAATTTGCTAAGTCTTGTGTTAAGTGACAACTACTGTAGAAGATACCAAATTTCGATTTGTTTATTTGAATGCTCTGTTCACAGCGCAGGCAAGGCCACATCAACGCACAACACAACTGTCATTTCCCCGCATGGACTTGAGGAAACCAGAGAGCCATCAGAGCCTAGCTCTGCCCTGGCCCAGTGCTGAGGCCTGCTGCAGGATGGCTCCAGCTAGCCCCAAATTACAGTGCTGTTTAGTAACTTCAAGAAAAGCCTAGTTACTTCCCAAAGTGTTCACAAAACTTCCCAGTGGGCCGATACTGTGGCATAATTGGCAAAGCTGCTGCCAGTGATGCTGGCAGCCCAAAGGGGCACCGGTTTCTGTCCTGGCTGCTCCACTTTTGATCCAGCTCCCTGCCAATGTCCTGGAAAAAGCAGCAGAGGATGGAGAGGGTGGCTCAAGTGCTTGGTTGCCCTTTACACACGTAGAAAACCCAAATGAAGCTGCTGGTTCCTGGCTTTGGCATCAGTCAGTCCTGGCCACTGCACTTGTGTGGGGTGTAAACCAGTGGATGGAAGATCTCTGTCTCTCCCTTTCTCTAACTCTTACAAATAAATAAATAAATCTTTAAAAAAAAAAAGCCCAGAACTTTCCAAACATTAAAAAAAAAGTTGGCTAACATTTTACTAGCATGGTTCCTAAAATGCTGATAGTAAAAAGCAACTGAATTGGGTATATAACAACAACCAAAACCAAACCAAACCAAAACAAATCAAAACAAACCAAACCAAAACAAAAAAACCTCTGAGTTTTAAGGCAAGTCAAGTATGATTTGGTGTCTATAGCCAGAGTATAATTTAGTAATTACCAAAGAATTTATTGATGGCTTCTTTCCTTGCTTAGTGTTTTCATATAAGAGCGTTCTGCAGGTCTGCAGCTTCTCAATATTTGTGGATGTATCTTATTCATCCCTTAAGTTCATTCTCTTATGCATCAGATAACAACAGCAAATACCTGTCTGGAAATACAGCTTCTCCTAAATGAGCCATCCAGAAAGCTTGCCAGTAGCATCCTCAACCAATGGTAGATCTTGCTGCTATAAATTTTGAAAACACTCCCTCAGCTATATGTACTATAATCAAGGTCTTTTTGGTCAATCATTATGGATATTCCAGTATAGGAAATATTAAAATCCTGTTGGGTGGATCAGTTAAAAATATATATATATAAGTTGCCACAAAAGAGGGCTTAGAGCCAGCTGCTTAATGGAATGAGGGATTAAAGCCTGGAAGAATTGGGGAGGTTAGATGGCGGCTAAGGAAACTGCAGCTCATTGACTAACACAACTTCCAAAGCCAACGGGGCTTGGGAAGATTCCTTCCCTCCCTCTGTCCTTGCCTCCCCTCCTGTCTTTTCTCTCCCTCCCCTCCTCTCTTCTTTCCATGGTTTTCATGAAGTGAAAAACACAGATTTTAAGTGCGCGATTTGATTGGTTCTGATAATTGCACTTAAGTGCAGCTCTACATTCCCTAAGTCTATCAAGGTATAGAACACTGTTATCACCCAAGAAGGTTCCCTGGCTTCCTAGGGCTTTTATAGCCAAGCTTTATTCCTAACAGTCATTTCCTGAACTGTGAATGTCATTTTAATCTGTGTAGGACAAGAACGAGTAATGGTAATCAGATGATATCCTTTACTGTAGAGCTCAGGCCACAAGCCATGAACTTTCATTCATCTTTGCACAGACCATGATGTTAATATATAATATTGAATGAACACATTTTATTTAAGCATGATTTATATGCCCAGTCATATAAAGGTAGTTTAAAATAAATTCTCATAGTGTTTTGGGAGTGCTGACTTGCTGCTGGGAATGGTGGCCCTTTACACTGACTAGCTGGCTGGTTCCAGGCAGGTGCGTGCACACAGCACAGACATCAGAGAATACCTTGAGCAAGGACTGCTTGTGACTTTCCCGCTTCTTCTCTTCCTCTTTCTTGGCCACAACTGATGCCATGCGCCTCTCTTCTTCCTGAAAAAAAAAAAAATCAGAAAGTGTTACAAAGTGCCAAATCATGTTTTAATGATAAATATCTAATTGTGGATGTTGGCCTTTCTTCTTGAAAGGCATACCAGTCAAGAAATCAGCACATCTTCAAATTCTGAAAAAGGCTGTGTATTCTTAACTCCACCCCAAACTCTGGTGATGACAGGACCTGGCTAAGGCGAGAAAGAACAGGGACAGACAAAAAGGAGAACAGGTTTGTATGGTTTTTCTCTTTATCTTATCTCAATAAAGCTGCAAGAAGACCAAAACTATGAAACAACACTATTGCATGCTTTAGAAAAAATTTTAGAAGTCAGTCATAATACCAATATTCTAACTTAGACCTTTTTTGTGTGTGCTTTGTATTACATAAAATGCTCGCCATGTGTAAACTTCTAGAAAATGTAATCTGTATATGTAATCCAGACCATATTCCTCCCTGAGAAATGTCAAATTTAATACGGAAAATTATGTGCGCATAACTTTCTGTTTTTATCAACAAGAGATTTGCAGATCCTGAAAATGACACCAAAACTTGAGAAAACAAGCTTGAAAATATCTTTAGAGACAGAGTAAATTAGCAGAATGAAGTAGCTTGCCTAACTACTTTAGAGATGAAAAATTACAAGTGATAAAACTAAAAATTCAACAGAGAGCTTTCAATACCAGATTACGGACATCTGAAGAGAGTTGATGAACTGGAAAGTGAGTAAGGGGAAACTTTGCCACATGCTTTCCCAACACTTTGCACTTCTCCATCTTAGCCCTAAGTGGTTTCATGCCACTTACTATTGCTATTGTTCCTGTCTCATGCTGTCGTACAGAAAGCTCCATGAATGCATAGACCACACGTGCTCCCAGCAACAGCAGAACTCAACACATACACATTTAAGGACAGAACCAATCGACGTATGTTCAATAAGCTCCTGCGACTGAAACTGCCAAATCCAATGGAAGACATAGGGGGCTTCAAAAAGTTCATGGACGACTGCATTATTAAAATTTCATTTTCGCGCAAAATTTTTGAGGTATCCCTGTGTTTCTAGGGCTTTGGGTATGTTTAAAAATTGTGTTCTGGAAGCATCGTGCCAACTTATACTCTAAGCAGAAGCCAACAATTGCTTTAGAACCTGATAGGTAGTCATAGGAGCTGTTCACCAAACACTCCTGGGTCTTCCCACTGGCAGGCCACACTGTGAGACAGTACTCCCAGCTCCCCGGAAGTCACATGTGGCCATGTGACCAGCTTTGGCTGATGCCATGTAAACAGAAGTGGTGTGTTTTTAATCTCTGGATGGAAGCTTTCACATGCAAGTGTGATTCAGCTAGTTCCTTCACCTCTGCCACAGAATCTGCAAATCTCCAAACTGTCCTAGTCTGACAGCCTGAGGCCTGGAATGAGGACAACACAGAGTGAAGATGCCAGTGCACAGCTAAGCAAGCAGGGATGGTTCTGAAACCATCTTCTGAGGGAGATGTGTTTTTCCTGCGGTACAGCCTAGCCTGTCTTGATCAGCCCACATACTCTATAACATGTACAGAAGGCCACAGTAGCATTATTTTCTCTAAGAAGGTTTTTTGTTTCCTTTTTCATTTCTTCATTGACACATTGGTTATTCGGGAGCATGTTGTTTTAATTTCATGGTGCTGTAAGTTTTTTAAACTTTATTCTTGCTGATTTTGTTTTAAGGCTTCTGATTTAAGGGAATGTATGGGAAGTGTGTAATAGAGACTATCGCGTCTAGATGTGAAGATGCAATGCAGTATACATCTCTATTTCCAAATCAAAGGTGGACTCCCAATGAAACTGTTCAATATATCTTGGCAATAGAATGTTGGACTCTGCCAATGTCTGTACCTACAATGTCAGGATACACTTAAACAGCAGAATGATGGACCTATGACTGCTTATGAAGAACTACTGTAATAATATAAGGGAAATCAGTTGAGGGAAGGGAATTTGGGGAAGGGTAAGGGAAATCGCAGAGCCTATGGAATGGTATCATAACAATAAAATAGAAAGGAAAAGAAAAAGAAAATGCATTGTAGCAGATGATATTGTGGCAAAGCAGACCAAGTTGGTGCGTGTGACACCAGCATGCCATAGTGGAGTGCTGGTTCTACTTGTGAACCAGCTTGGTGATAACACCTGCCGCAAGTGCAGAGACCTCTGTCACCCATGCAAGAAACTCAGATGGAATTCTGGGTTCCTGGCTCAGACTTGGCTGTTGTGATGTATGTGTATGCGTGTGTGTGTGTGTGTGTGTGTGTGTGTGTGTGTGTGTGTGTGTATCTGTCTATCTGTGCAGGTTTCTCTCTCTGACACTCTGCGTTTCAAATGAATGAAGCTTCAGAAAGAAAGGAAGGCCGGTACGCAGGAAGAAAGGAAGAGAGGAGCAAAATCCTTTCTAGAAGGTGAGCCATTCTGCATGTGCCAGAAAAAAAAGGATTATATTTAGATTAAATAAGTATATAAAAATACATACATTATCACAGAATTCAAACTAGGAAAGCCCCTACTAGTAGATTCTGTTTTAAAAATAATAACCTGGCTTTTGACAATTATAATTTCTAAGAGGTCACAGAGGCAGTGACAATGTCTGGATCACGACCAGAAGCCGGGCCTTGTTAGACGTGAAGTTTGTAGCATTTTTTTAAAAATTTTTTTAATTTGTAGCATTTTTTTTTAAAGATTTATTTTTTTTTATTATTTTTTCATTGGAAAGGCAGATATACAGAGAGGAGAGACAGAGAGGAAGATCTTCCGTCCGATGATTCACTCCCCAAGTGAGCGCAACGGGTCGATACTATGCCGATCCGAAGCCAGGAGCCTCTTCCGGGTCTCCCACACGGGTGCAGGTTCCCAAGGCTTTGGGCCGTCCTCGACTGCTTTCCCAGGCCACAGGCAGGGAGCTGGAAGGGAAGCGGGGCTGCCGGGATTAGAACCGGCGCCCATATGGGATCCCGGGCGTGCAAGGCGAGGACCTTAACCACGTGCGCCACCGCGCCGGGCCCAATTTGTAGCATTTTTAATAACAAGGATATATTTCACCTTATTTTACTGATTTTAGAGAAACGAAAAAGGAGAGATAAGAATTCAGAGGACACCTGCCATATGATTTAGTTGCTTTTATTAACTAGAAATTTAATGTGGTCTTCATTTTGCAGTCAAGAAAATAATTATTCCTAAAAACTAAAGATAGATAATGAGGAAAAATAAATCAAATAAAAAGCTCAGAACTTTGATTCCCAGTTTCACAAAGTAGCTAGTTTAATAAAAGTTATCATTCTATTGCAAATGAATGCTGATTTGGTTATGTGTAGAGGATAACCTCTTTTTGATAACCTTTAAAAGGGGCAATGTATTGATATTTTATTGCTGACTCATTTAAAAAAGGTGAGCTAGAAGCATATTCAAAGAGCCAGTTTAAAAATGCCTAGAAATTGGGCCCGGCGCGGTGGCGCAAGTGGTCCTCGCCTTGCACGCCCTGGGATCCCATATGGGCGCCGGTTCTAATCCCGGCAGCCCCGCTTCCCTTCCAGCTCCCTGCCTGTGGCCTGGGAAAGCAGTCGAGGACGGCCCAAAGCTTTGGGAGCCTGCACCCGCGTGGGAGACCCGGAAGGCATAGTATCGGCCCGTTGCGCTCACCTGGGGAGTGAATCATTGGACGGAAGATCTTCCTCTCTGTCTCTCCTCTCTGTATATCTGCCTTTCCAATGAAAAAATAATAAAAATAAATCTTTAAAAAAAAATGCCTAGAAACTAGGGATCATGTATAAAAATTGCTATAGAAACTACACCTGAGATGAGCTTTTCCATTCACTGGAGAGCAAACTGTAAGCAAGTTCATGTTAAAAAAAACCAAAATGTGGGTTTGAGGTAAAAAAAAAAAACCTAATGAGAATAGTGCCTAAATTTGCAAAATACGGCCTTAGGAATAAAAAGTAGAGGTGTGGATGTTGTGATAGGGATGTTGGCAACCCATACTGGAGTGCCTGGCACTGTGTCTTGTCATCACTTCAGGTCCAGCTTTCTGTGAATGAACAAACTGTGAGGAAGCAGATAGTAACTCAAGTACTTGGGCCCCTGAAAGGCAGGTGGAAGACCCAGATGGAGCTCCGGGATTCTGGCTTCAGCCCGGCCCAGCCTTCTGCTGCAGGCACGTTGGCAAGTGAACCACAGGGTGAAAGGTCTTTCTCTCCCTCCTTCTCTCTCTCTCTCCCTCTCTCTCCCTCCTTTTCCCCTCCCCCTCCTAAGTAGAATATAAATACTCCCCCCCCCAAAAAAAAAATAAAACAAAGAAAAAGGAGAAAAGAAAGGAAAGGAAAGGAAAGGAAAGGAAAGGAAGGAGGGGAGGGGAAGGGAGGGGAGAGGAAAGGAGAGGAGAGGAAAGGAGAGGAGAGGAGAGGAGAGGAGACGAGAGGAGAGGAGAGGAGAGGAGAGGAAAAGATGCCTTCTGGAATTTTCTATACAATGGTTAGTTCAAGGGGTGGGGAACATCCAGCCTGCAGGCTGTAGAAGGCCCGCAAAGTCAGTTGGTCTGGCCTTGTCTCAATTTATGTAGCCCTGTTCACAAATTATGTTAGAAATATCCAACTAACCATAAAAGCTTCCCCTCACCCACAGCACCTCAAAATGTGTCTAATTCCCTTTTTCTTGGACAGTTTTGGAAATAATTGAACACCACGTAGCTATCTCTCCCGTGACTCCTCTTTGGCCAACAAATCTTGCTGGGTGCTTGGAAATGATCTGGGTTGTTATCACCCATGTAAGAGTTCAAGTGCAAATCTGGCTATTGAAGGGAGAAGGGACTGCTCTATTTTCTGAATTCTTTATGTCTATAAATGAATATTGTTTTAGGCCATGTTAACTTAGTAATAATCACACCTCATAATTTATTCAATTTGAACTTTTTTTCAATTCCCACACAAATCATTTTCATACAAGTTGTTAGTCTTAACGTCTATAACCCCTACATTTGCTG